AAGTATTAAGACTTTATTAGCAAAGAAGTATAAAAACTTCTTGCAAACATCTTTTTTGTGTGTGGTCAAAGGATCAGAAAAAAGGCATAAAGTTATTAAAATATAATTTTATATTACAAAAACTTATATATATTATATATTTAAAAAAATTTATAGTGTTAATTGATATAAAAACTCTTTCCACTGATTCTCTAACCATATACAAAAAAAATGTTTGCAAGAAGTTTTATACTTCCTTACTAATAAAGTCTTTATACTTTATTTCAAATTGGGTTCATGAATAAGTATCAAATAAAATATTATTAGAAGGGAATTGAATTTTTCTTTTAAAAAAATTAATTAATTCTTCAAGGGTATGAATATTTTGAATAGATTCATCTTCAGAAAACCATCTTGACAATACATCAAAGTATCCATTAACAATACATTTTCCATGGTATTTAGTAAAAAAATTAAGAAAAAATCTTTTGTTATAAAGGGTTGATACATAATTAAAAATAAAATGCATTACTTTAGCTGATCTAAAATGAGATCAGAATCTGACCAAAAACAAAATTGTTGAAATTGGGACATAAAAGGTTTAGAAAGAAGTTAATTGATATGATCAATCACAAATAAGAAATCATGGGATAAAATTTTGAAAAAAAAAAAATCAAAATATTGTATTTAAATTATACCATTATTATCTTTATAAAAAATGACAAATCCTAAAAGTGAAATTTGTGTTTTTTCATAAAAATTTCTATCAGTTTCAAAGGGGCCACTACCAATTTTAAAATTTTCTTTAAAATCCATAACTATTATATAAGGAGTTGTTATTGTAGAGTTAATAGAATTTTAATAAAGTTGATGTTGGTTTGTTTTAAAGTAAAGATGTTGAAAATAAAGATTAATTTGATCTTGTAATTGAGTAATTAAATATGTATTAAGGGAATTGATTTGAGATAATTTTTTTTTTATTTTTTTTCCTTCAACACATATTGGACACATATTTGTCTTTTTTGTGTTTTTTTGAAGTTTTTTGGACAATATTTGTAAAATGTACCAAGGCTTAATTTTAAAGTTAGATTTTGAGTTTTTAATTCAGAATAAATGTGTTTTTTTGTTTTTTCCAAATAATAAATAGAAGTAGGATTAAAAGAGGTAATAATATTTTCAAGAGAATAAAGAAGTTTTAAAGATTGACATGTGACAGTAGATAAATGAGAATTTTGTATAAAAGAATTAAGAATAAGTTCAATAGTTTATTTATTAATGGCAGATTTGGAAGAAGGAATTTGTCTTTGATAGTTTGATAAAAAAAAAAGATTGATCATTGGCTTTTTTTAAAAAGGTATTAAATTGTATATTACTAAAGTGAAAGCCAAGATTTGTTAATTCAGATCTACTATATAAACTAGCTACTAAAGATAAAAGACTGGATTTATAATTTGTAGAAGAATTTGTGTACATAATCTTAAGATTATTAAGGATTTGTTTGATTGTTTTTGCATGTTTTGAATCTGGAAAAAATGTTTTTCCAATGTTAGATTGGTTAAAGAAATAATCGTATAGTTGAGTTAGATTATTTCCTAATAAATGAGTAATCACATCATGTAAAATTGAAGTAGCAAGACTTTTTTGAGAAGGAGAATAAGAATTCAAAGGTAAAGAATAAGGATGAGAACGAAGTAATGCAGAAATATTTTTTCTTAAGTTTAAAGAAGGCATGGTATAATTAAAAAAAAAAGAAAAATTTTCGAATTAAAGAAAATAATGTTTAAAGGTTGTATTAATAATTAATTTCGCTCAAATTCGCGAACGATTTGATCGTCTGTCACATGATCAGACAATACAAAAACCTTGCAATACTATAGGTACATGCGCAACACCACAATACAATAAATAGTTAAAATATTAACTATCCATTGTAGTTTATGCATGATTATACAGATGCAATAAAGCGCGATATAAATAGAAACAAATAATCCTGGGCCTTAACCCTTACCCCCCCAAAAATTCAACTAGCGTTTTTGTCGCCTTCAAAAAGAATTACCCATATTTTACAACACCATTTTAAAAAAAAAAGAACCTTCTTAAATTAGATATAATTTTATTGTTTTTGAAAAAAGAGAATTAGAAGAATTGAATAAAAGTAATACAGTAAGTAATACAGCATAATAATATTACATATGCTGTATATAGTTGCTTCGTATATATGGAGCACCAATCACACCTCGAATATATTTGTATGCCCTTATTCGAGATTCGGTTTCTGGAGACTATCGAACCGAAACATACTCTGATCGGAGCCACACGGTTTATTAGATGCGTATTGTTCTATATTATGTAATGCCGTATGAAAAATTTTTTTTTCAAATATCCGGAATTTGTTTGCACAACTGGCGCAATTAAATTAGCTGTAACATAACGCAATAATGTCAATATTACGCGTGGGACCGCGAAAACTTGTTATACCGTCTTAAAATTCCAAGATGAACATTCTCAGAAACACGGTTCGGTTCCGTGTAGTTCAAAATATTTACTGTATTTTCGAGACCACCTTTTTTTCGACAATTAGATTTAGTGACAATAACGTTTCAATAAATTAAACCCGTCGGCACTATCGGCATTCGGGGAATCTGGAGGTTTCCGTATGCACCCGAGCTACCTACAGTTATTAACGACGCACGTATAACATTGTTAAAATCACATGCCCCTTTGCTACTACACAAAATTAATTAATTTCCTATGTTTATTATGCATAACAATTGTTGGAACTTGTCTCAACCAATCAATATAGTCATGCTAAATGAATTTATAATAACTTTCGTGACACAGGGACACATCCTCGTGGGAGAGAACTTGTTGGCGGGACGTCGGGAGCAGAAGCTTCACAGAAAAACCAATTATTAAAATCACCATATGCATAATATGATAGGGTGCGAATGTGACGACTAGTTGTAAATAGGGGAATGGGAAATAAATTGTCTCGGAAAATTTATTTTGGTCGCCAACGATGTTTCCGAAAATTAAGGTTTATATCAATTCTCCACATAACCGACGACTCAAACATATTACATGTTTGCAGCGTTTACGTCACTCATTTTAGATTCCCGCGTGCATCCCATTAATGCATGTTTTATCTTCCACTTAAGGTCGAAAATGAAAGTGCGGAGAGTATCCTAAAAATAGGTCAACAATTATTCTGAATAATCTTTTCCCCCTTCGCCCTTGAATTTTGCGAGATCAAAGGTCAGCTACGTGTAGAGCCCTGTGATCAGGGAGTTATGACGAAAGAAAGATGACAGAATATGTATCAATTCACTAAAAAAAATTATTAAATTTAAAGTTTTTAATGTACATTAATTGATTTACCATTGATCGCCTTTTTTTCTTTATCCTTTCAAATATTTACTTCGTGCATGCAATAGAAACAAATTCTTGATACACCAATTGGAAAGATCCTTTTTTTAAAAAAAAAAAAAAAAACACAGAACGGTTTCATGGAAACAAAAACGCATCACACTGTTCATGGAGGTACAGTAATATATCAAATGCACCAACGATTGTTAAATATTCTCTTCTCATTGCAGATTAAAGGGTCACCACCTGTTTACTATTGTATTGGTCGTATTTTATTATGTTTGTCGACATCTTATCTAATAGCAATTGAAATTATGTCTTTCACTGATTCGGTTTGTCTGTGTTTTACATTGAATTAAAGCTAACCTGGTCAATGATCGGTTAAAAAAAAAATAAAGTGAAACTTTTCCACCAAAGTATTTTTTTTTTTTTTCTTTTTTTTTCTTTTTTACCTTCTTTTTTAAAAAAAGTTCTCTTCCTGAACAAGGTTGTCACAATAGCCGCGACGTCACATTCTCTTGTTTTGACGGTCGTCGGATTGATTTGATTTCCTTCGAGGTTATCTTGGTCATCAGTCGATTAATACTTTTCTTAGCTATTCAAGACTCATTTGCCTTGCCATTTTCTCATCTTCGTCACCCGCTTTACATCACATCTCCTTTCTAAAAAAAAAAAAGATTTCGTTTCCATAATAATATTTATTATTGTTTGATTCAAAAAAAAAAAAAAAGGAATAACATCACGAAACACTATCGATCTGTATACCACTCTTTCGAATTATTTACCATATTGAGCGTCCTCCCCACCAGAAAAAAAAAAAGAAAAATTTCAATCGCATTGACGACAGGGCTGGGTCCCCTCCATAAAATTTTATTATTCTTGTCTTTTGGTTAGATGATTATACCAACAACACAGCTAGTGAATAAACGAGAATCAGAAGCAAAGACTGAACACCGTCCAATATTCTATTTCACCTTGCAGTTTAAAAGATGTCTTCCAATAACGGAGGTCAAGAAAGGACCTCGGTGCAAGTTGGTATGTGTGAAAGAATTGCATGCGTTCAATCCCAAAAGATATCTCAATTTCACTAACCCAATTTAAACTACAGCTCTCCGAATAAGGCCGATAGACTCCAAAGAAAAACAATCAAGATTTCAACGTCAGGTCATTACAACATCCCCGTGCACTCCAAATCAAGTGATCGCGCAAGGGGAAAAAAAGCAAACGTTTAACTTTGACTATGTGTTCGGTCCTGAGGCTGAACAGAAGGAGGTCTATCAGAGTGCCGTCGAGAAATTGGTTGATCAATTTCTGGAAGGTGAGTCTTGTTCTTATTCAAAGTCGATGAGAAAGCAACTGCACGAACGAGAGTGGGACACGATAATAATAAAAAAAAAAAAAAAGATAAACTCAAAGTGTATATATCCACTATACAAGGGGCGTTGACCCGTCTTCATAAACCAAACGAAATGTCTCACCGATTTGACTTTAAGAACACAATAGTAGTAATGATAACGAGAGTTGTCACGATAAAGACATGACATAATCTTTCTAACTTTACCAATCCAATATATCGAACCTCGTCTATACATAAACTGCAGGATACAATGTAACAATTTTAGCCTATGGTCAAACTTCATCCGGAAAAACTCACACCATGGGCACCTCGCACAACTCTTCAATATCACCGGAACAAAAGGGCATAATCCCTCGTGCAATGTCCACATTATTTTCCGCCATGAACTCACCACGATTCAGGTCGCGAAAGTTTTCTATCAAGGTTTCGTTCATCGAGATATATAACGAGGAGTTGATCGATCTGCTGGCTGATTACTCGTCAAGAGCGGATGACGGTTGTAGGCCGCAAGTTACCATCAGGGAAGATTCGAAAGGGAACATACTTTGGAGCGGTTTGCAAGAGATTCGAGTTAATGGGGTCGATGAACTAATGAGGTGAGGTCAATCGTTTTACCGCGTGCACCACTTTCTTTAAAAAAAAGCTAACCAAAGTGTGTGGACACTTTGCGTCTCAAATAGTCTTCTCGCCCGCGGATCGTTAAACCGTCAAGTCGGGGCAACGGATATGAACGAACAGTCCTCTCGTTCGCACGCAATTTTCTCTGTGACGATGTCACAACAGAAATTCGGTGGCTCTCCAAATTCGACTCCAAATTCACCAATCAGTCCGAGCTTCTCGGGTAGTGGGCCAGATAGCAGACCGTCTACACCTTCGAGAATAATTAGATCAGCGAGTGTAAGAACGAGCAGGAAATTTGAAGAGGGGGAGGGAGTTTCGATCACCAGTAAATTTCATTTTGTGGATTTGGCTGGCAGCGAAAGGGTATGCTTAAGTTTATCGATTAGAATTCGCTCGTGTTCCCTCATTTTTTTTTTCTTTTTTTCTTCTCTTCGACACCCACCCACTCACCCCAATTTCTCATTACATAGTTAAAGCGTACATCGGCGATCGGTGAACGTGTCAAGGAAGGTATCTCAATCAACGCCGGTCTTCTCGCGCTCGGAAACGTGATCTCGGCGCTGGGCGACCCCACGAAGGCTAAACATACCACCCACATCCCATACCGAGATTCCAAACTCACCCGTCTCCTTCAAGATTCGTTGGGTGGAAACGCGCAAACTCTTATGATCGCGTGTGTGTCACCCGCGGAATCCAACCTCAACGAGACCGTCAACACGCTAAAGTATGCTAACCGGGCGAGAAATATAAAAAACACGGTGACCGTGAATAGCGAGGAGATAGGGTGGAATGACTTGGAGCATTTGCAGATGTTGGTGTTGAAGTTGAGATCGGAGATTAGGGCGTTGAGGAACAACGGAATTAATGAAACTGGCAACGGTGCGAGTCCTACCGCTAGTAATAGCGGAAGTGGAAGAAGCACCCCAGTTTACATGTATGGGGGACCTGGCTATAGCCCTCAAAAGAGGTTTTCGAACTCTTCGCTCAACGTCGTCACGAATGCTAATGGTGACACCACCACTTACACCGCAAATTCGCCTGCATCTGCGTCACAAAATCAAGCTGACAAGGCGGTCGAAATTCTGGAAGAGCAATTATTGGAGTTGCGAAGGTCGTATTCCGAACTTTCGCAAAAATACGCGAAAACCACAGCCGAACTTGCCATACATCAGGAAAACACTGATGGCGCTTCGGGCATTAAACCTCGTGATTCCTACTCACCGTCAAAGTCTTTTCACCCGCGAAATCCTTCTGATGAGTCCGTGCGCAGTCAATGCTCATCCACTCAATTGGAATCCATCACGGAGGAAGAGGAACATGCCAAAGGTCAAAACTTTCTTCTTTTATCGGAGGAATTCCAAAAGGCTGTTGAACCGGTGATAGAAGAATACGAGAAGTCCATATCAAACCTCGAATCGCAACTCGCCCTGAACCGCGCCGCGATCTACCACACCGAGACTTTGATGCAGGAACAAGAGCTCAAACTCGAATATGCTGAGAAAATCAATGAGCAGAATGTCTCCCTGATCAATGATCTCCGTAACAAGATCTCGGAATATTGTGACAAAGATTCTGTCTCGGAAGCGTACATCCGTGAACTCGAGATGAGGCTGGAAAAGTATGTTGAGGAACAGGAACGAGACCGGGAAATGATAAAGGAGTTGAGGGCCAAGATCATGCAGATGAAAGCCAGTGAGGAGAACAACAAGGAGTACATTCAGGATATAGAGAATCGGCTGGAAGTTAGCGAACAAAAAGCAGAAAGATTCGGGAAAGTGATACAGAGATTAGAGGAGAGGTTGGTTCAACGTGAATCGGAGTTCGCCGAATTAGAAACGAGGGTGAGGTTGTCTGTTGAGGAGGAACGACGATTAAGTGACGAAGTCTTGAGTCGAGATGCTAGAATTATGGATTTGGAAAGGAAAGTTGACGAATTTGTTAGTGAATTGGAATCGCTAAGAATAATTCAAGAACAAGCGAGCGCCACCGAGGATGAGGAGTTGCTACGAGAATCGTTGTTAGCGTCACTTCCAGGCTCTTCCCCGGACGATTCGATTTCTCTCCGATCAATGGTACCCAATTCTTCGACGATCAGCAAACAAGAGAACCTGTCGGTAATCACCCTTGAATCAAAACTACTAAATCTGCAAGAGAATCATGTGAAAACCGTGAGCGAATTATCTGAAATAAAAATGAAATATGAGGAGTGTTTGCGTGAAATTCACGAATTACAAACCCAACTCATCGAGGCTCGTCTTTATAATTCCGAATTATTCGATGACAATACCTCCTCCGCACCCACGACCCCGTTGACGCCGATGTCTCCAACGGTCCCTCAATATAAACCGAGACTACACAGTAATGCCAATATAACCTCTCTTAGGATGTCATTCCCTCTGGTGCCTAAGTCTAGTGAGAACACGGGTTCCCAACCAACTTCAAGCAAAAATCTCGCAATGACCTCGTTGAAAAGACTCTCCCATCGACGCACAAAGTCTTTGACGCCTGAGATTCGTGATAAGGAAAAACGCGACTCGGTGCACATGGCAATCGTTCAGACGCTACAAAAAGAATTGAAGCAACTGGAGTTGATTAATGAGGAAAAATCACAAGGATTGGATGAGATCAAAAAAGAGTTTGCGAGGTTAGAATGCAATCATCGTGAAACTCTGGAAATTGTTGAGGAATTGAGGGAAGAGATAAAGAGACGTGATGCTCTCGCACAGATGGAGATAATGTCTGTGATCACCGCGGACTACACTGACCGAGGATTTTCTGTGACCGCCAGCGAATTAGATGAGCACGAGATCATATTGAGGTTAAGAGAGGAGTTGGAGCACTTGAGAGAAGAGCAAAGAAGAATCTCGGAGATCATTGAGCAGAAGTTGGGGGGAAATAAGAAATCTGACGTTATCGAAAAGGTTGATGCAGAGTTAAGAGACATAATAGAACAACTAAAAAACGTCGAGGCCTCATCCGAAAGATTGGATGGCGATGAAGAAAAGCTCGGAGAATTACAAGTTAAAAAGCGTGAATTAGAGAGGAAACTCGAAAAAGTGAATGAAGAGCATCAAACTGAGGAATATGAAAGTGTCCCTTCGAATGAGAAATCCGACGAGTGTGATGATGAAATGCAAAATCTTAGGTTACAAGCTGAAAAGTTGCAAGCGGAAATTGAAACCAAAAGCCACACTCTCGCCACACTATTGCTCCCTTCCGTCGAACATCAAGATACAATAAGAAGACTCGAAGATGAGTTACAAGAGGCTCGACAAGCCTATCGGCTCGCAATTGAAGAAAAGATCAATAAGCTGACTTCGTCCCTCGAGGTTGACTCAACGAAGGAAGAATTGCCAGGCAGCCTCAATGTCAGCAGGAGTCCGTCGGCCGCATCAATGAGAGTTGTAGACTCGCGTGTTGAACACGAAGGTAAAGTGAAGTTATTGGAAGAAAGGGTGAAGAATCTTGAGCTTCAGTTGCTGGAAGCGAGGGAGAAACAGAAAAATGCGATTCCATCGGGTCCGTTGGTCGATCCCGCGCAGAGAACCATTGAAGTGCTCGAAGAGAATTTATCGGCGCTCCAGAAAGAGTTATTGGCCAAGACCGAGATCATTGAAAATCTGAGGAATGAATCGGAATTGGTTGCCGAATTACAAACAGAGATAGAGTCTTTAAAGTCTGACATAAAAAGGAAAGAAGAAACCATCGAGACCTTGAGGAGAGATCTGGTGGAAAAGGGTAACACGCAACAAAAGATTAGGGAAAAAGAAGCCGAGGCTGTTGCACTGAAGGCTCAACTTTCGGAGTTAAAGAAGCGTGATGAAGAGATGGAAAGGCAAGTCCGTGAGCTTCGGAAAGAACTGGAGGATCTGGAAACCGTTAAAAATGCGAACGAGGAACTTCAATCAGAATTAGAGGACGTGAAGCAGCAACTTAAGATTGCCACGGACAAGGAAACTTTTGCGTTGGAACGGTTGAAAATACTGGACGCAGATGAGATCAAATTGCAACAGGAAATACGAAGGCTGAGCGATGTCGAGGTCGCAAATAATGAAAGAATAAACGAGTTAGAAACTCGTTTGGTGCAACAAGACGAACTCGGAAGGGAATTTTCCAATCTGCAGAACGAATTGGTTTTGGTCAAAGAGTCGAGGAATTTGCAGGAAAAAAAGATCGCGGAACTTGAATCGCAACTTGAGATTTCACAACGCGAACGTGAGGCCTTGGAAAACACGATCAATGAATTCAAGTTGAGGACATTGGAACAGCGTCAGCAAATTCAGCTCGCGGAAGTGCAATTGAGCAGTGATTCGAACAATAACATAAAAAAGATCGAAGAGTTGACCATTGAGATCGAGGGATTACGTCAACAAGAATCCGAGCGATGTAAGAAAATCGAAAAGCTTGAAGGGCAATTGGCGGAGATTCAACAAAAAGAAATTTCCGCGAATATTTCAATCAAAGAAGAACTGTCGACTTTAGAAAATGCAAAACTGGAACTTGTAAAAAATGTTGAAGAATTAGAGAAAAAGCTCTCGGAGGCTGAAAAAGAATTTGAAAATTCCGAGATTATTCGGGAGGAGCTTAAATCATTAAGGGAACTGGAATCGGAACAAAAGAGGACCATTGATCAGTTGAAAACCCATCTCGAAGAAACGATCAGAGAAAAAGAACTGGTGCTTGAAGAAGTGGAGATTTTGCGAAAAGATTTTGGATCACAAAAAGGACTTGTCACCACACTCGAAGGAGAATTGAATTTGGTTAAGGAAGAGCTGAACAAGTCAAGGGAAGAAAATCAAGAATCAGAGAAGAAAATAGAAGATTTATCGAAAGTGATGAAGGAAACTTTGAGACAGCGCGAAGTAGAGGAATGCAAAACTAAAGCCTTGGAGAGTCAAGTTCTAGAGTTGAGCGCGACGAATAAGTCACGTGAAACGAGTATGTCCAAGCTCCAGCGTGAGTTGTCGGATGCCAAGGATCACAAGGAAGCCCAAAATGAACTTTTGTCAAAACTTAACGGTCAGATGGTCGCTCTGGAGAGGGAAAGAGACGAACAACTTGAACGCGAGAGGGAATTGACCAACACGATTGAAACCAAAGAGATTGAGCAAAGAGAAGCCATCGAATCCTTCGAATCGATCATTGATAACCTCAGGAATCAGCTTAAAGAAGCCAAAAATTCTTCTCGAATGGACACGGAGGCTATAGCTGATCTCGGAAGTAAACTTGCGACGGTCGGATCTCAATTAGAGGAAGCGAGATCATTGGAGGAATTGCGATCTCAGGTAGTGATTGAACTTGAAGTTAAACTGAAAGAGACCAACGCTGCTATAGTTGAAAAGGAGGAATTGCTTATGTCCAAGGATGCTCTCCTTAAAGAATTACAAGCGAACGCAGAAAAGGCGAAGATCCAACTTGACAATGCTAAAATTTCAGAAGCAATGGAGTCCGATCGCGCAAAGAAACTTGAGGTACAGCTCTACGGAATTCAATCACGGCTACATGATCTTTCACCTTCAGAATACGAAGAAGTCAAACCAACCAAGTTTGTGATGGAAGTTGAACTCAAGTTAGTAACCTCGGACAACATCGAGGAATTAAAATCGGCGCTCGTCGAGATAAAGGCCGAACTTGAAAAGGCTAGGGCAGCCGAGGCCGAACAAGCCGAAATTATTAAAACTTTGGAGCTGCAACTTCAAGAAGCGGACAGGTGCCGGGACGAGGAAATCTCCAAGGTGAAATCCGCCACGGTTGAAGTCGAAAGGCTCAAGGTACAATGTAGGAGCTTGCAGCTCGAGCTTGACGATGCTCACAAGGATTCCTTGATTGCAGGTTTTCAAAAAGTTGATGTTTCCATAGTCAAAGATCTCTCGAAGCAACTGAAGAAAGCAAACAGGGAAGCTGAGAGTCAACGTGATCGCGTTGATGAGTTGGAGAAAATTGTTAAGCAACTTGAATTTGAGAAAGAAGACAAGGAAAAGCAAAATGAAAATCTTCAGCAGCAAATTGAACAGCTAAATATAAAATTGAAATTAGCGACCCAAGAACCTCCCGAGTTCGCCGACACTGACGTGATATCGTCAATTTGTTCTCCGACAAATGAATCTGTCAGCAGTCTTGCCCTCTCGAAGCTATCGACGGCGAACGAGAGTTTGCGTAAAACAAACGAAAATCTGAATCTCAAGATTCTTCAAGCTCAGTCCCGGATGACCGCTTTGACGCAAAGGATAATGAGTTTAGAACTTGATCTCAAGAATCTCCAACTCATTGGCAAGGACGACCTCGCTGGAGATTCGGTTTTGCAATTTAAGAACAAGATTGCGAATCTCGAGGCTGAGAAAGAAGGATTAACGCAAGCCAACGCAATGTTCTCCGAGGAACGCAAGAAGCTTGATCAAAAAATAGAATCATTACTGGAGCAAATTACACTATCAGGCAAAGAAGGGAATGAAACGGCTGCGCAATTTTCCGAACTCAATGAGAAAATTATTGAACTCGAGAAAGAGATTTCTGACCTAAAGCAAAGGACCGTGACGGAAAGTCAAGAGATGGAAAGAGAGATCGCGAGATTATTGGAGGTTAACAAGAAACTTGAAGAGGAAAAGGGGCAGGCTAAAGAGGAATTCATCAAAGGTTCAACTTCGGAAATCGGACCAACGCGTGCCCAAAGCTTGGATAACTCAATGTACTCGAAATTCTTGTGTCAAGAGAGCACCATAATTCAACAAAACAATCTCATCAAGGCTCTTCAGGAAAAGATCATCGAACTTGAGCTTCGCGATGAGGACGATTCCATAAATGAATCGAGCGGCGGTATGTCTGTTACGGACCTTGACGCGGTTGGTGGTTTCCGCGCGTCGGAGACGACCAAGAAGAAACGACCTGGAGTTTCTGCAATAACGAATTTACCGGTGACCCCTCCATCCACACCACCACCAAGTCTACCTTTACCCTCACTGCCGGCTTCAATAGGTTCAATAGGTTCCAACTCTTGTTCGCGGTCCTCAACGCCTGGATGCGTTTCGCCACCCCCGCGAAGCAATTCTGCATCAAGACCTGGTTCAAGGACGGGCTTCGTAGATCTTGCTAATGCGTCGGCTGTGGAGCTTTCGGTGGAAATTCACAGGCTGCATCGAAAAATTTCAAAGATGGAAGAGGAAAATCTTGAAAACCAGAGAAATGTCGAGACCTTGGAAACTTCTCTATCGGAAAATGAAACGAATCTTCGTGTGGCAAAACAGCAGCTACAAATCTTACAACGCGAGAAAACGGATTTGCTGGATCAAATAAAAAGTCTAAGGTCGCAGTTGGATGAGACTACCGCGCAATTCGAAAATGCGAAATCATACGTGCAAGAAGAGAAGAAGGTCATAGAAACAGTGCTGGAAGAGGAAAGGAGAGCCAAGGAAAGCGCCGAAAAGGCCAGAAGACAGCTTGAAAATCGTATGGAAGAGCTTATGGCAAAGAAAAGCAAGTTTATGTGCTTCTAGACTAAGCACCTATAATTCTCTACGAATGCTTTCTAGTTCAGTTCAAGATTCTTCAATTCACTATTTTGTAATTTTTTAATTTGAAACATAATTTTCAACTTTCTCATCACATTCTTTTTTGTACAAAAAAAAATTAATATTACTATTACTATTACTATTACTATTACTATTACTATTATTATTTGCATGATTCAAGTAATGATTCCATAGGCATAGGTTTCTAGCGAAACGACTGACATTAGGCACTTTGTTTTTGAGTAATCTTCATCCATTCATTTATTCCATATAGATATTTATCATAATATAAGGTTTTAGATTTCTGTGTATTTTATTTTATTCTCTTTACTTCATTCATTCTCATAAAATATCAAATAAAAATCTACCTCACTTGTTTCTCTGTACAGCAACAGCACTTATTCTAAATCTCTCTCACCAGATTATGTTATTCACATGTGCGTACAAAGGATGTCATCATCACGACATCAAGCGAAGGATAACTTTATTCTTGTAAAAGTGGATGCGATGGAGGCCTGACACCACGTTCCTTCAGGAAACTTAACAACCGATACTCGAATCTTCTCATCTATATCAGGTGAGAAAATAAATAAATAAATGATGCTAACTGGTAAACGAAATCATGACAAATATGTACGCATGATAGCAAAAAATTATACCACCACGGCCATCTTATTGTCATTTTTTTCTGACACCACTTTTTTCGTGAATATCGTAAACATTCCATTCATGTTTCCGAACAAAATGTCGGTCAGCAAACGATCGCCGATAACGGCGATTCTTGTGGGCGAAATTGGGGAAAGGCGGGCAATCAATTCAGGTCCTCCATCAGGTTTCTAATTATGCAAGACAGGACAAAAAAAGATGTTTGGATTCACCGTGTTCACAGGTGAACTCTGAAAAAACAAGTTTCAAACCTTTGATTCGTGTCTTAACACTGGAACACCTGAATATAAAAAGAACATATCAATCAATTAGTAAATACATACATACATACTTGTCCTTTGGAAATTGACAACCACTTCACCTAAAGATTCTTCTATCCTCTGTGCCTACCTTGGCACGTGTAAATTTAGTAATAGCAAATCTAGAGGTTTAAACATCTAGGAAATGAAACCCGTCATACGTCTTTATACCCGGGATCATCTGTTGTTCCGGCAGAGTTCGATATAATTAAAATATTCTCTCTTCCGAATTGTTTTTTGCATTCATCCCATGCGGCCTTTGGATTTTTTTTTTTTTTTTTTTTTTTTTTTTTTTTTTTTTTTTTAGAAAAAACAAAATCAAGTACCAAATCAATTGGGATTCATGAAAACTACCTCAAAAGGCTCATGTAGTTTATTGGCGTAAGGGGCGGTGAGGGTATTATCTTTGTCGAAAATCAATACTTGGATACCTTTTCTTTTTAACGATTCAAAATTTATATCACGAATGTCTGACGATGAATAATAGAGTTAGGAAGATTTTTTTTTTTTGTTTTGTTTGTTTGTTTGTTTGTTTGTTTGTTTTTTACCATTCACAATCATATGTGGGATTACCAATTGTGGCCTCTTTAAAACTTTAAAGGCTCCGAAAACCGCGTTGAAATTAAGACCCTGAACCATAACGAAAACAAGATTCAGAATTTTAAACGTCTGCTGTCCTACTTTGAATCTATTTTTTTATTTATTTATTATTTTTTTTTTTTAGATCCGATTTTAGCAAGATCAACTTGGTGATGATAAGCCTTTCCCGAGTTTTATCACTTTCTTATGTTTACTTCCCAAGAAATTCTCTATTTCTTCAACATCCAACCCTTGTCTATCTTTCTGATTCACTGGTGGAACCGGACGTCCCGACCAAGGAGATTTGGTCACAACATAACGTTTTTGATCCGTCGATGATTTCCCGCCGGCGTCCGAAGTTTCTGGATCGAGATCTTTTTCTTTTAGTATAGGAATGTTGGTTAAGAGTTTCTGATAAACTCTACGTATAAAACGAGGCCTAGGGTTATGTGGTTTGGCGGTTTTATACGGGACCTCTTTGATTCGGTCTCGCGATCGCCCAGAAGCTGCAATATTTGGATAAGGAAACAAATTTTTCTTTCCCTCTATGTTGTATTCGCTGGTCGATGGAACTGGATTGCGCCATCCAACCCCTTTGTTTGTCAACGATCCTTTCCCCGCTTTTTTTTCTATTTCATCCAATAATTTGTCATTGACAGGTGGCATGACAGATTTCATATTTTTCGAGTAATGCCGCCACAATAAATTCGCCCTTCGGGATGGGTACAGAGGTTTATGCTTTGGTACGGGTAATACTGGGTATAATGATTTTCCTTGGGCAATCAATAATGCTTTAAGAGATGGGGACATCCGAGGAGGTGAGGTCCGGGGAAACCCTTTAACGATCGGTTTGGGAGCCGGACTTGGTTCATTGATGATTGGCTGTTATTTTTAACCACATGAAGTTTTTGGTGTTTAAAAAAAGGCGCATTTATACTTGAGAAAAAACATCAACCTCTAGCATTTTATGCCTCATTTGTCCTCTTCTTCCGTACGTCCACTCTAACACGCGAGTTACCGCCTTAAGATCAAATACATTAGCCCTCTTGAGACGATAAAGTGCCTAATTATGCAATTAAGCAGTAGCAAACTTTGTCGATATAAATTTTAATTATGGCACAGAAATATAAAGAAATAAAGAAGAATGATTCGAACCTGTCGAGCTTCAACTATTTTATGGGCGATTCTTGTTTCATCGGTTTCATCCTTGTATTCCTTAAATCTCTTTCTCGTCCGTTTTTTCAAGAATTGCCTTTTATATGAGACGAGACAAGTCGTGAGGATACTCAAACCTTGACATCATTTTTCAAAAAAAAAAAAAAAAAAAAAAAACACTTTGCGTTATTGTCAAAGAATTGAGTCGATTCTTTGATAATGTTCTTATATAATGAAAGGATTTCTTGTCTTCGTAGCGTTTTATCCATCCTTTTTCTCAATTATACTGACACGTCTCTTATACGTGCGGGTAATACAATAATCAACCAATTGGCATTTTTAAAACTTATTTATGTATTAACATTGGCTTACATCATCATCGATCTTAAATCATACCGTATTTCCGGAAGATCAAATCCATCAGAACCAAATTTGAATAATGCATAATGCGTTGAATGATTTAATCACTAATTTTTGATTACATCGTTGGAATTATCATTTTTTAATATATATACTTATGCACTAATAAAAAAAAACTATATTTTAAAAAAAAAATAAAATAATGATAAAAAATAAAATAAATAAATGAATATATATATATATATATATATATATATCATACTCTATTCTTTATGATATATTTATTAATTTTTATTAATTTTTAATTACTGTATATTGTTGAGACGTAAAGGATATACAGTTTGTCCTGCTTAAAAAATAAAATCGAGATAACGACTTATTCTGGAATGTTCGGAAAACCTTCTTTATTCTCGGTGAGCCACTATACACACTATCGCTGCACAATAACTAAAATATAACATCCGTGTAACCGTTTAATAAAACCCTGAACAGTGATCAAAGCAATTAGATGGGTCGCTTGGTCAGCAAGCGACACAGTCCGATTTCAGATAACATATATATATATACGTATATATATTGAGAAGTGATCCGCCTAATTTTTTGTGAGCTTAGGTTCCATTTCTCCGCTCGCTTATTTGCTAAATATAACCTTTCCCCTGATTAATTCTGATAAATTAAAATTCGATTATTTTTATGGAAGAAATTGGTTACCCAGAACAAGAAATATATCATGAAAAGCAAAGATTTTGGTTTTGCGGTCAAGTGAGTTTTTGAATAATTAAAGATTTACATGTTTTTCATCCTGATTGATTTTATATTCATATTAAAAAAAGCACACATTGAACAATCTAGTGAGTAAGAACATTTATACATTTCGAATTTTACTTCTTTTTTTTTTTTTTTTTTTTTTTTTTTTTTCGCCTAAATTGTGATTAAATTTAATTGCCAAAAATCCATTATCCGTAGCTCCAAAAGGAGGCCTTTAACAAGACGAAACTTGACAACATTGCCCTTAAGCTAGTCGAAAATACTGATTCCGAGGCTAAAACATGGCAGTATCAATTTGTGAATCCACACAAAAACGTCCTGTGAGAATTTTTCTTTCTTTCTTTTTTGTTTCTTTTTATTCAGTACAATTCAATTCTGTCTACATATTGATAGCGGATTTGGTAATTACGACATAAACGTTTTGGACGTAGCCCTTAGAGAATTTGATTTGGATGTGCAATGGTTCGATGCTCGCAAGGGTATTATTTACCGATGAGTTTCGTTTCGATGCCTCGTATATTTATTTTCTGATTCTAAAATTTATCGGTAGATATTCGCACAGTTATTCAATTCACCGATTCAACACTTTTTGGAATCATTCTGAACGTTCCCATAACGCGCTTCTTGTTTTGGAAATCGCACCACTGGATCACGGTCAAACCGATTTACGGAGATGACGCCGATGAAGAGACCGTCATCTACAATCTAGATTCAAAATTGAGTAAACCTGTAAAGTTTGATAGCGTGGATCAGGTAAGTTCCTGTCAATTATCGCGACAATGATTACAAATTGTGGATGATTGTATATATTTTTCACAGGTTTATAGATTCCTTGAAGATATTGTTTACCACAAAGATGGGCAACTGATACTTGTCAAGTCAAGGCCTAAATTTATCGACTCTGATTTTGAACCTTGATATTGAGATGTAAATATTGGCATCATAGGTTAGTCTTATGCAATATGAAATCATAGATTCAGAGTTTTCGTAATGAGAAATCAATAACACAAACTTCAAAACCCGTATGCATTATTTTGGCACCATTGATTCCGATCTTTAAAGATTGGATGTAGAGTCACAAATGGTAGTTTGGTTTATCATCATTCGTATGCAGCGAGTGCGTTTTATATCATAATATGCAAAATAAAATTGTATTTTATGGTTTTTTAAAATTTCATGTGGTCATTGATGCGAGATAGAATATTTTTATTGACACTTACCCTTGTCAGAAATATTTGGAACTCAATGCATGCTTCTTTTTTCTCATTTGGGCATGCAATAATGAATTTTGGTGATATTGTTGATTCAAATTAAACCTTCTTTTGCGGGACCAAGTTTGACCGGTCCTAAAAAGGTAAGAATGATTTAAGATCATGACCCGAGACCTGATTGTATAGCTAAAGACGATTACAAATAATTTCAAGTTTTTTGTATGTAAGGGTGTATTTATAAGTTTAGTTTTCTTTTTACAGTACATACCGTACTAATTTTTACGATACAATTGCACATTAATCATATGAAGAAGTATACGGATTAATTTAAAATCTTTATTCTTAAGTATTTAATTGATTTTAAAAGCTCTGAAAGCTCCCGTAAAGTAATAAAAATTTATTTTTATTAAATTAACCCATTTTTTAATTGGTCATTGATTATTTGTATAATTCCTATAATAATTATAGTCGTATAGGAACAATTTTTAATATAATAATTCTAAATAAATAAGTAAAATTGTTTATAATTTAGTTGTTATTAGATTACTCATTGAATCTTCTGATTATAATGTAATTATCATATGAAATAAATAGTTAGTTTTAAGTTTTTATAAATCTTTTTAAAAAACCTTTTATCTTTAATTTTTTTTTTTTTTTTTTGATATTCTCTATCAAATTAGTTATAATACTTTATTAAACATTTGTATATTAAATATGTGTTGCTAACACTAGTTGAAATTATATTATTTGGCAATCAAATTATTGCTAAATTTGATTAAATTTAATAATAAAAATATTGATAAATCATTTTTTATTGCTATCACTCAACATCAAAAATATCAGCAAAAAATTGATAAATAATTTTCAACATATTATAACAAAAAAATTTAACAAAAAATTCAACAAAAAATTTGCATACTGCAGTAAAAAAAAAAAAAAAAAAAATTGTATACTGTGATAAAAATTTTAACAAAAAATTTGATATTGCAGCAAAAAATTCAACAAAAAAAATTGCATTCTATAATAAAAAATTTGATAAAAGTTACAAATCCAGTAATAAAATTCAGTAAATATTTAAAAAGTTTGACAAATTTCATGAAATTTTTTTAGAAATTTCAAAAAAATTACAAAATCAATTAATTAAACTATTTGTCACTTTCCTTTTCCTCTTCCTTTTCTTTCACTTGCTTTTTTTTTCTTTTAAAGATTTTAGTTTAACTCTTTTAAAATTAATTTATTTCAATTGATTTTATTTTACTCAATTTTTTTTTTGAATTTTTTGGGGGGTTTTTTTTTTAAAGTTTTTCTTTTAATTTCTTAACTACTTTTCAAATTTTATCTATTTATATACTTTCCTCAATTTGTTTTTCACTCTTTAAATACATTAATTATTTATTATATTTAGTAATTTTTCATATTTTGAATTTAACTATCACTTTTTTATTCTTTTTTATCTCTTTTTCTTATTTATATTTTGAAATCTATTTTAAACTATATACTCAATTCAATAAGCCCTTTTTGATGATATCATATCATATAAATATAAAATTATTATAATATTATTTACAAATCAATTAAAAACCCTAGCACTACTTAAAACAGTAATTAAAAACATATCAATACCATATATAGCAATCTATTCTTCATATCATGTGATTAATATGTCTATGACAAAACAAAACTCTTATAGGCCATTAAATATAATTAATAAAGAAAATTATAGATCTCACAAACCTTTTTTAATATCATTACTTCAACTCAAGAAACTATTACAAACCCAGTTCCAGGTCTAACTAGATTCTCAATTATCGATAGTATCATTACTAGAATTCTGAATATTAATCACACTACCTTTATCAAAGTCAATATTCTTAAACAACATATCCTTTACTTATAAACCATATGACAATAAAAAGAAGAAGATCTTCTAGCTCCCTTTTTAAAAGACAAATACTTGGATATGATATAACAAATAGAACAAACGCAATATATAGTACCTTACAACTATTATCAATAAATTAATCAATAGTAAGAAGTGATCTTCCTATTAACAATTCATTTGATAAGGTAATGACATAAAAATTCAAGCAATTACATCATTTGAAATTCTAGTTATCACCAAAGTCAAAATAGAAAAAAAAGAACTAGAAAACAAAATTAAAATAGAAGTTATTAATAAAAAGATTAAAGGAGATAATATAGCTAAACAATAAACATATAAGACAAGAAATAAAAAAAATATTCAGCATAAATCCATACCATATCAAGAAAAATGGAAATTTTAAAATAGGTGTATTTACCTCAAGACTTTTAGGAGAAACTGAAACAAAATAAATAGTATATCTTCAGAATATATTAGGCTTATCAAAAACTTTGACCTCTTCACAAAGAAATTCATTAATGACAATGCTTAAACAATTTTGCTGTAAAGAAAAAAAAAATGTATTAAAATACCTTAAAAAAATTAACTGATAAAAAAAAAACAATTTTACTATTATATCTTTAGAAATGGACAAATGATCAAGCTTTAGCCAACTACTAAAAAAAAAGTGTTTCAGAAAACAAAAGAGAAAAAAAATATCACTAGTGATTATTTTGATAGATATTAATTGAAATTACTTATGTTAAGAAATCAAAGCAGTCTCAATTAATATAGACAAATAACAAACATTCATATTTATAATTACTTATGATTATAATACCAAATCAAGATACATATTATTTCTCACAAACAATATACTGACCTTGAGAAAAAATGGATAATCTATATTAGAGTAAAAACTATTAGAGTCATTTTTTCTTATAATAAACATGATAATAAAGAAATCAATTAAATTATCAAATAGTGTAATACACAATTTTTATAACTATATAGAGTATATAATACTATTACTGGGCTAATTGTAAAGATAGTTAAATATACCAAGGTTAAAACATGCTACATTTCTAGAAATTCACATATACTCAAAAGAAGAAGCTATGTTATAATCTACTTCTCAACAGCACAAGATTTTAACAATACCTTAAAATAACATATTTGTATTCATGGGTACAAACTCACATGAAGTGTAAAAAAATATTTTAAATAAGGACAAAAGTGTTCTCAAGAAAGATGGGATTTCAATAAAGCTAAAGAATCTGATACTAAATTTACATAGTTAAATAAATAATAAACTGATGATATAAAAATAGACAAACTAATATTAAAAGCAATATAAGACTCAACTGGTAAACAACACTAAAGGATAAATTAAAAACTGAGATCAAGGAAAGGACATATTTTAATAAAAGAAAAAAAGAAACAATTTTCAAGGCAATAAGCCCACTACTAGCAAAATAAAGACTCACAAATATTTGTTACTGGCAATAACAGAGAATTAGTTAATTATTACAATAGATAAATAATATACAATAGATCTAAAAGCTCATATCCTGAAAGTGAAAGTGATCAAAATTCAATTCATCAGATCCTTGATAACCTCAAGTGATTAAACAATAGAATAATCTAATTGAGGAAAAGATAAGTAATCAAAATAGTGTAAGAGAAGGAGAATGAAACAACCACTCCTAAAAGTAGTATCAGTTCAATTAAAGTATATCTGATTCACAAAAGGAATCAAGTTTATTCAAAAAAAAAGATATAATTATTAATACAATAGCAGATATCAATACAACCTCTTCCAACACAACATATACTATACTACTTAATAATTTTATCAACACAATTAAAAAGAATACTATTGAAAAAATAGACAAAGAATAGACACTATATAATAATTATATCATAAAAAACTCCATATTAGATATTTTTTTTTTAACCCACATTATGCTGCAATGGCATATCTTTATTGAGATATTGAAAGATATCACAATGTTTACAGACTTTTACAAAGTAACCAACTCATCATTGTAGTTTGATATAAAGCCTCTAAATCAATCAGGGTCATTGCCAACAGTTTGTCATTATTGATTATTCTGAAAAATAATAAATTGCTAAAGTTGTCACTGGAAAAAAGGAGAAGAGAGATACAATTTAAAGCTCTTCAAAAGGTTCTTACTCCATTTCATGGTTTTTTCTCGAAAGGTATTTGTCTAATTGAGATATTCTCTAAGCTTTATAATGTTTGAGAAACTTAATCATTCCTGAAAATGACTTCAAGAAAAATATTTGAGAAACTTATCCTTCTGCCGATGTACAGATTTACTTAATATTATTGGAACCAGTACTATATTATGAAAGAATTTGTCTAATCAGGATAAAAAAAATCTTTTTAAGAACTTTACCTAATCAGGATAGAAGCTTGGAGATCTCAGCTTTTATATAAGAATGCCTTTTCACTATCTGAAAAACTTAATGAGAGATAAGAGTTGGATCTTTTATTTCTACTCATTCCTCACTTTTCGATATTATAATTGTTTCCTGGAGGTTGAACATATATGATTGAAAGGAACACTTTTTCTAGAACTTTTTTTTTCATATCATCAATTATGTATTGAAACATGTGAGTGTGACCAATAGGGGCTTGTTTACATTCCAAAACTAACATGTTTTATGTTAGCCAATTACCTTTGATGAGGATTTGTACTATCCAAAATTCAGGATCAAACTGAGATAAGTAAAATTTCCCAAAAAACTATAAACATGGAAGCTTTAAGAGGGCCAAGATAGTCAAAAAGAAAAAAATAAGCCTTTTTACTATAGAAAAT